TCAATTGTACGTTTTTTACATTTTGTTTGTTCTCCGATATTTCTTGTTTCTTTCTGCTGTTGTTAACGAACCTTTTTTTTTCTCTTTTTTTTTCCTAGTCATTGACTCCATCAGAGCCTTCCACAGCTCCAACAACAACAGAAGTCGAAAGTCATCAAGAAGAATATACCGAAAATAAAGTTGAAGAGATCCTTATCGTATGTTTAAATTAATAATAATCGACTATCTGACGTTTTTGAAAATAGAATGCTAATTTTTTTAAAAACATTTTAGCCCGCACCCGTACAGATGCCTGCCGTTGAGTATAACCCGTATCCCGTGTATCCTGTGCAAGTCGATTCAGTTCCCGTTGTCACAAAAGGCAAGGAAAAGAAAAACAAGAAGCAAAAGAAGAATAGCGCCGATTCGGATGATGAAGAAAAATACATCCGAAAAGCCAGATGCCGTTGCATGATTCAATAATGCAACACTTTCTTCCCTTTAGTTCTTTCTCCGCAGTCCTTCATTTTGTTGTGGACATTAGGATGTTCTTTCTTTTTCTTTTTTTGCTCTACTCGCCTAGCGATATTTAATAATACGATTTACTAAGTATTTATTTACTTTAAAAAAGGAAGAATAAAAAAAAATGTTTTCTACCAAAATTGGTTGGGGGGAAAATCTAATGAGAAAAAAAATTATTTATTTCCTATCCTTGCTTTCAATATTTATATTTTTTATTTCCGCAATTCACGACGGTGGGTTCATTGATTGATAAGTTTTGAAGTTCCTCGCAGGAAGGGATTTAAAAAGGGAAGTTTAATAATTTTTGGCATTTGCAAAAAAAAGAACATTTACAGCGTATCGTTGAATCAAATTTTTTTTTTTTACTCCATCTAAAACTCTCTTTCTTTCAGCAAAGTATTTTTTCCATTGTAATTATTTTTGTATTATTTTTTTTTTTTTTTTGTTTCCCGAGTTTGGTGAACATTTTATCATTTGTGAGATATTTGCATTTACGTTCTTTTTTTTTCAATTTTAAATTTCCTTGCTGAATTAAAGTTATGTTTTGTTTTTAAATGTATATTATTTATTAGTTACTTGAGCTTTACAATTTTTTTTTTTATTTAAAAACAAAAAAAAGAGAAAAAAAACCATTGTAAAAAAACACGGGTTATAAACATCATTTTATTATATTTATTTTGCATTATATTTTTCTAATTTAAAAGTAAAGAAAAGAAAAAAAAAATTTTTTTTTTTATGGGTGCGTGTTATTAAGTGTACATATATATATGTTCTTTTGCTGGAAAGGGATATTGGTCACTTTTGGTAAGTTCTCTAATTTCCTTTTATTGATTTAAGTGGGAAGTAATTTTGGTTTTGACAATTGTGGAATGATCAAATCATTTGGTCTCATTTATTATTTAATCCCTCTTATTCACCGCTTTTCGAGCTTTGCATTTTTATTTCACTTTAAAAGCGGGGGAAACAGGGGGAAATAACAAAATTTATTCCATATCGAACCTAAATTCTTTATTATGATTGTAGAATTATGATTACTCTGCGAATGTACAATAATTAATTGGATCAATTTTATAGGTTATTACATTAAAGAAATAATGATGTCCTCCTTTATTCTTGGAATTTGAATTAAAAATATCACGAATATCATGTGGATCTATCTCTTTACCACTTTGTTCGCAAAGTTATAGAGAATGATGAAATTAATTTTTGCTCCTACATGAGTCAAATTCACTCAAATCTGAAATCGATCTTAATTTGTAAGTTTGGGTTAATTAATGAATTTTTGAAATTTGTTAGAAAGAAAAAATTAATTACCATTTACTAGTAATTTGGTACTTTTGTCATTTTATTAATTTAATTTTTTACGATTCCATATTTAGTAAAAAACTCGAGTAGAATCAATATCATTATCGAAAATTAAATGTTTTTTGTTTTAACCATATTATCTTTTAGAATCATTTATTTTTAAAACTATCATCAACTTAAAATAATATAATATATATATATATATATATTTTTTTTTAAAAAAAAAAAAAAAAAAAAAAAAAAAAAACCAACTTATAGTTATAATAAAAATTATTTTTCTAACATTATATAAAAATATTAAAGAAAAAAAAAAATTATATATTATATAAGCATTATTTATGTATAATAATTTTTAATTAAAAAAAAAAAATTATAATATTTAATTATAGTTTAAAGGATGTATATTAAATAATAAGAAATAATATAATTTGTAATATAATTTTTAAAAATAAAGTTTAAATATATAGGTCCTTTGACTAGAAAAATAAAAAATGAGTGAATATTAAATTTGAATATATTTTAACCTGAAAATCATTTGACATTATTAACCTTATGATCAATCTGTTAAACTTAAAGTAACAATAATTTAATAACAGTAAGTAACGTGTGAGAAACTACTAAGTTACTATAGAATAAGTTCTATCACAATCAACCTTAGATTCATAATTTAAATGAGAAAATAACTTTAATAATTGTAAGAATAATAAACATGATCACATTAAAGGATTTTAATATATGTGTAGTTTAAAAAAAGATTCTTTTATTATAGAGATTGTATCCTTAACAATCCTTAATCTTGGATTCTAAGTCTTTAACTCAAACTATTAAATTATCACTATTATCTTTGTTTTTTTACAAAAACAATTTTCTATCCTATTTATAAAAAATTACAATTATAAGAAGATCATTATCTAACATTATTTTATATAATTAAATTATAATGCTAAAATAAATACATTAATAAAATATAATTTAATTATAATAATAATAATAAAATAAATAATAATAATATATAAAATAAATATAAATAAAATATAAATGTTAAAAAAGTTAAAAATGTTAATAATATTAATAATATGATCAGATGATCAAATTAATCTTTTCCAGTATTATCAATAAAAAATCACTTTCACGTAATCATATAAAAAATATTTGTCATCCTGCATCATACCTTTCACTTTTCATTTTTTACTAAGTATTCCAGGGACTTAGAATTTTTTCAGTATATAAAATCATGTTCATCACATTACTATTTGTCATATACATAATGCCTTAACTTATAGTTAATGTCATAATTCTGACCAAAAAATCACATAAAGTGATTTTTTGTTAGTGATTCTGAAGTGGTTATCAAATTATGATTGATCTACATGATGCGATCTTAATGATAATATAATTACTATAATTAACATGATTGACATATCAGATATATTTAACATATTATTTATAATTGATATAATTAATATAATTAATTTAATTAATTTAGTTAAAATTGTTAAAATTGTTAAAATAGTTAACATAGTTGAAAAGCTGAGATAGTTAATATATTATTTTATGTATTTGAAAATATATATAGGACTCAGTTATTTAAACTTTTCAGGTAGATCTAGAGTTAGATTTTTAGATACACTTAGTAAAATTCTTTTGGTAGTTCATATACACTTAAGTTATTGAGTAATACTTAGTTTCATTTATCATGTTTTACCTTTTGTTTAATAATTTCTTTATTTTTTTATTATTTTCTTTCTTATATTTTAATATATTTAATCAATAAACTATTTTTATTGTAAATTATCAAGTTATGTAACATTTTCATAACAAGTATTTGAACATAAATATTCACATTTAGAATAATATTATTTAGTATAAATCACATATTTACTATGTAAATTTAAAAAGAAACAACCCTTAACACTTTGTCTAACTGTCACAATTCGCAAGAATTGCACGTTAATAATAATATTAATTTTTATTGATTCTTGTGATATAATAGAATTGATTTCATATAGTATCAATATATAAAAATATAATTGATCGTTCTAATTATACAAAATATTATTAGATTTATTAATTCAAAAATATACAAATCTCTCATAGATAAAAAAGATTTCTTACATTATAAATATGATTTATCTATATTTTTTATTAGAATATTATATTTAATTTATTTTTTTTTTAAATAAATTTTTTATTTTTATTTATTCATTTTTTTAAATATAAGATTCATTATATAATATTATTATCTTTATTTTAATAATTTTATAATTTATCAATTATCTTCTTTAACCAATTTAATAAAAACTTAATTTAAAAATTATTTTTAAATTCATCTTTTCTAACTTTAAATCAATTAATTCTTATTTTATTCTTTTTAAATTATACTTAAAAACTTAATTATTTTACTGTTTTTTTTAATTAACTTTATTTTTTCAAAATTTTTATTAATCACTTAATCAATCAAATTATTGATAAAAAAATTCTAATTTATAAATCAATTTTATTTGATTATTTTATAAAATATATTTATAAAATATAACTTATTATTAGTGTTCTAAGCTGATTATATAATCATAAACCAGTTTCAAACTGGTTGACTTTTTGCAATCCAGTTGTAAATCATTTTCTTTGGTAAATCAGATTATATAAATCTGATTTATTGAAAAAAATCAGTCTCTGCATAATTTTTATTTTATTATCTATTTGTAAGGAACATTATGGATTTATTTGCAATTAAACAATTCAATAATGAAAATTGTGAATCAGGAACTTATTTTTTAAATAAATTATTTTTATTAGAATGCAATCTTGAATATTAAAAAAATTACAAATGGATTACCAATTTAAATCCAAATCGGGTTAAACTTTAATTAAATATTTAAAATACAATCTGTTGGCATTTTAAATTTTCAATTTTGTTTTAAAAGACCAGACAAAAATCAACATATGTAATGGATTTTGTAATTAGAGCAAAACCAGTCTTTACCTGCTTCTGAAAGAATATGACTGGAGAATTTTATGTTAAAAGTTTCTTACTGAATCAAAAAAATACTATGCAATATCTAGCAAAATAACGATCTAAGCATAAGAGTTATATAGTTAAGAAATTTAAATTCCAACTATCATTAACTGATCATCTACAGTTCTAACTTGAATCACATAGAAAATTTATGGTAATTATTAAAAGAAATTTTGAGATGCAGCAGCCACAAAATATTGGAGATTTGGAAATTTTATGTAAGAGGAATGGTCATTCGTTAGTTAATTTATTTTAAAAAAAAAAAAAAGGTAAAAATAAACTTACCGTTTCGTTATAAAATAATCCAAATTCTAGATTAGAATTAGATTGTAGGTAAAGTCCTAATAGATAAATTTGTTTTAATTTTTTTTTGATTTTAAAAATCTAACACTAAAACTTACCACTAGTAGAAAGAACTTTTTACTCTTTTAATTAAGATTTTTTCCACGCTTTCTTGGGGTAAGAGAATAGTAGTATCTAATTCCAACTATTAGCAGTTTTTTGTAGCGAAGCTAAAGGACGATTTTGGTCATGGTGGTCATGCTGGGCTAATTCAGTCGCTACTTGATCAAGGGTTAGGGATGATGATTTTCTGCATTTCACAGATTTCTGCAGAACTCACAAAATAGATCTTTAGTTGCAGAAATAATATAAAAGAGGTATAATAAGTATAACATAATAATCAATCTTTTTTTCTTTCTTTTTTTTAATGTTTATTTTTGTAATGAAGATAAAAAGAGATCCAAAAGCAAAAGTTACTGTTAATACTAGAATAGAGGAATATCCAAGTGAATTCTGAGTTAACGATAGAATTTTATTTTATAATATTTGTGATTATTCTATTGATTAGATACAAAAATTAACAATCGATAATCACCTTAATAGTATCTCACATAAAATAAAAAAATTTATATGAAAACAAATAACGTCAACATTAACAAACACTTGCTATATCTCTTTCTTCCTTTGAATCTAAAAAAATTATGATTCATGATTTAATTGAAGCTTTTATCGCAGCAGATATCCCTTTAAAAAAAGTAAATTCCTTACTTAATTTTTTTAAAAACACTGTAAAGAAGGTAATGCTATTCCGAAGACAGTAACTTTATGTCAACTATATGTATCTTGAACTTTTTTTTTACATTTAGAAAACCTTAAAAATCTTTTTTATCAAAAACCTGTTGCTATTATCATGGATGAAACAACCAATATTTATCAAAGAAGTGTAGTTAATTCCCTTTTTACATATCGTAAAGATAGAAAATTAATTTCTATAGACTTTCTTACACGCATAAATAATGTAACTATGGGTCAAACCCTTATTAGTATTCTTCTAAAATATGATATCTCAGTTACTCTTTCTCGACTTTTTCTTACGGATTCAGCAGCATACATGAAAAATGTTATTATGAAATTTTACATTCTTTAATACCACAATTAATCCTCATTCCTTGCTGTACACATATTTTAAATTTAATTAGGTAAGTTTTAATTTATTTATATATTTTATTATAAAATCAAATAAGTTTAATAAATCTAATAAACAATTTTTTTTAATGATACTTAGCATACATTTAAAGATTTTTCAATAGTTAGAGTATTATTGAAAAAGGTTAATGAAACATTTATTAGAAGTTCAGCATGTCATCATCGATATATAGATCACTTAAAATTTCATGGAATTAATTAACCACAAAAAATTCCTCTTTCTTGTAAAATATAGTGAAATTCTTAGTTTAAAATAGTTAAATATACAAAAGATCATCTTGTATATTGCATAGATTTTTTCAAGATGAACTTGAACTCAACAGAATAGAAGCATTAAAAACTATTACATCTTTTCTTTCTGATACACAAAAATTTGGACTTATTAGAATTTTTGTTAACTTCATTTCTATTTTTTCTCAACAATTTATTCAAACATTAGATTTTTTCAACAAGAAAAACCAATATTTCCTTTTGTTAAAAATCAATTACAAAATCTTACAGCATATATAGAAAGTAACATGATTGCAACAAGTTTTGGATATAGTTTAGAATTAATAATTAATGAAAATTATATTTAGCCAGAACATTATTATAAGACTTTTCAAAAAGCATTTAAAGTAGCATATGAAAAATTTATGACACATATTTCTTCTCATCCTAGACACCCTCTTTTTTATGCATGTCAAGTTTTTAATCCAAAATTTATTTATTTTAGTAATATAACAAGAAAAGATATACATTAATATAGGATTATTACAGAATTAGATAATCCATCTAATGATTTATTACATAAATAGGCAATTTATTGTAGGTCTACAATAAATATGGATATTATATTATATAAATATTAGTTAAATGCGACTGAATATTTAACTCTTTTATCTCAAATAGTATTAGATTACATATGATTACCAGTTTCTTCCTGTAGTATAAAGCAAAGTTTTTCTAAATACAATTCAATTTTAGATGATAATTGGCAAATTTATCTGAAGAATCTTTATGTAGTTTAAATATACTCTATTTTAATAATAGTTAATTTTTATTGTATATAATAAAAATTATAATAAATTTCGCAGAATTATACAAAATCTATAAGAATATGAATAAATATTAATGCATAGCAGTTTGCAGAATTTATTTTTAGCACAGACAGAATCAGCATTTTGTCATTACAGAAAATCATCGTCCCTATTAAGGATGCAGTTTGGAGAAGTCAAAGCTATTTGCTGATAGCAGCGTAAGGCCTGAGCGGCTAAACTAGCAGTCAGAAAAATTTTAATTTCCGCCTGAAGTAAAACTTGAGAAGTAATATCTCATCTGGCCATTATTTAACCCTTAAGGTGAGTTAAATCTTGCTGAAACTGATGAATAATTTGTCGCAGTTCAGGCGTGAAGAAATTTGAGTGGTTAATTGACTTATTTCAGAAGAGTTTAACTTCTCTCGTTCTTTTTCTAAGTTCACCATTAGTTTTAGTTTATTAGCAGTATTTTTGTCATTCAGCTAAGAGCGACAGAAAAATAGTCCAAAATCTTTAAATTTTAGGACTGATTGAAGATAAGCCTAAATTTTTAAATTATTAGTTAATGTTTTTTTATTTTTTATTTTTAAAAAAAAAAATTACAGATACTTACCAGAATCTATCTAGATCTAGAGTCTAGCTACATTACTCATATATAGAGCAGTTTCCAAAATTAAATAACCTCCTTCTACTACTTGATGTCTTTTATCAGAGATAAGTCTATATAGTGAAATAATTTGTTAATATCTTTTTTTTTTATAATTTTTAAAAAACTAATGCTAAACTTATTTTTATAGAACAGATCCTTAAAATTTTATTGTAGGTATACTCTAATGAAAAAATTTGTTAATTAATTTTTTTTTAAATTTTAAAAAAAATTAACATCAATTTACCTTTATAGGATGATTTTAATTCTGAATTTTGAATTGAAGGTAAGCCTAATTAAAAAAATTTATCATTTAAATTTTTTTTTAATTTTTTAAAATAAAACTAAAAGCTTACCTTTATAGGATCAATTCAGAATTTATAAACAATGGAATCTTAAATTATAGCTAAATCCTAATGGAATAATTAGTGTTTTTTTTTTTTAATAAAATTAATATTTATTTTTACCTTTATAGAATGATAAGAATCCTTGAAAGCTTAAATTTAATCAAATCAGATGTAAGTTTTAATAGTGAATTTTTAATTTTTTTTAAAAAAAATCACTTATATTAGTTTTAATTTATCTTTATAGAAATTGTTCAGATCTTTGATGCCTTTAGAATCAGATTAGAAGTAAGGTCTAATAAGAAATATTGTTAAAATATTTTTTAATTTTAAAAAACTAATATTAATTTACTTTTTAGACCAATCCAGAATCTTAAATCGAAATAAGTCCAATTTGTTAATTTTTTTTTAATATAAAATAAATATTTATTACTTACTTTTGTATCATTTTTTTTTGTATATTTTAGTCTTAAGTTTTTTGGAAAAATTAATTTTGATGGGTGGGTTAGTTTCATCTTTAAAAATGTATATTAATATAAATTTTTCATTAAAGACGTAGATTACTATACAAAATTCAACTTCAAAGTCTGCAATATTGCAGATTCAGAATCAATTGTGAACCTATCTTTAATATTTGTTAATGACTTAATATATATATTTTAAATTAATTTTATTTTATACATTTATATCATTAAATATAAATAAAAAATAAATAAATTTGAAAAAAATATTATTTGTATTATCTTTTTTATGTATAATATTACTTTATTGAATTAACGTGAAATTTTCTGTATATAAAATTTTATACAAATTGCCTTTGAATTTAGTGTATTATACTAACTATTTAGTTGGTGAAAAAATCAAAAATAAAGCTATATTTCGTTTTAAAAATAAAAGCTGCTCAACTAATTCTGGATTTAAACAGTTGCGACGTGCTGTAATATGCAATCTAGTATCTAAAAAAAGTCTTTCGCTAGATACTAAAGTGGCTGGTATTGACAAGTATTTACATGTAATTTGTGTTAATAAAGGAAATTTTTTTGAATTTTCCTTTCACCAATTAAGGGGATCACATTTTTTTGATATTTGTAAATTCAAGTAAGCATCAACTTCATTATCCTCAATATTATCATTATTAATATCATCATCAAAAAGTGTAGTAATAATAGAATTTAATAACAAAGATGTAGTTGTGCTCTGTCTGATATTAGTATTGCCAGTAGAATCTAAAGGATCAAATTTATTTGCTAATTACTCATCAAAGTAAAGGTCACGTAATTTTTTAATTGTTTGAAATTTGATAGATCATCACTAATTAACTTGAAACTTTTTAATTGAGGATCTATAATTGCTGTTATCATTCCTACTAGTTTAGGCATTTGCCAATATTCTTTCATATATACAGGTGCGATCAAAATTATGCAGACACTTTTTTTTACCAGAATTATGCAGATTATCAAATAATCATATGCTATATTTATCACAAATTTTTTATTTATTAATGTGATAAACGAATATATAAAGTTTTTTAACCTTCCTATTTTTACATTTTTAGTATACTAAAGGTTTCTGAAAGGTAGAAATGTTAAAAAGTCCTATGGGACTAGGTCTTAAACAGTCCTATGAAGTCCGGTCTAGTTCAAGGTCTTTTGAACTATAGGATTGCGGTCTTATAGAAATTAAGACTTGTAGTTTTAGGACTCAGTCTTATAGAAATTAGGACTTGCGATCCTTGGATTGCAGTCTGATAGAAAATAATTGTTCAAGAAGAATGATGACAAATCGTTTAACTTGAGTAATAAAAGAAATAATCTTTAGAAGAACAATAAGGAATCGTTCGACTTGAACAATAAAAAAGTCATTCAAGAAGAACGATAAGAAATCGTTTGACTTGAATAATAAAAAAATCATTCAAGAAGAATGATAAGGAATCATTCGACTTGAACAATTATTTTTCTATAGGACTACAATCATAGGACTGCAATTTCAGGAACTAGTCCTAGAATCCAGTCTTAGAACCCAAGTTCTATAGACTGGGTTTTCTTTAGAACTGGGAGTTTCAGGATCAGACTAGGATCAGACTGAAATTTAACAATCTTACTGCTTTCAGAATATTATAAAAAATTGATCAATAGTATGTTATAGAGGATCAAAGTTATTATTACCACAAATGGCAATAGAATTAAATATTAGTATCAGAATTTTTTTTTGTAAAAATTAATAAATAACAATAAAATGAATATACTTTCCCTTATTTTATTTTCAATATATGTTTTTTTGTATAATTTTTTTTTATTTAAAAAGTGTCTACATAATTTTGATTGGCACCTGTAAGTAAATAGAAGCTTGCATCTTTTTTAAAAGGCCTGTGGTTATAACTGGATTTTTAATAAGTCATCAATTTCGAAATTTAGAATCTGCATTTATTCTTCATCCACTTTCTATATTATTAATTCTTATTCTTCCATATCCTCTTCTTTATCTTCTTCCTTTTCCTCTTAAACCTCTTAATAGAATTTTAATAAATCTTGATTTAATTATAGAATTTCATAATAATTTATAATCTGAATCTGTTTCATTTCCTTTATTACTAATTTCATTTGTAACAATACCTTAATTATAATAAATAAATTTTAAAATTAATATTTACAATACAGTTAAAATTATAAGTAATAAAATTTTATATTTTGCAATTACTTTTATTATCTTTATATTCAATTTCATTAGCTTATATAGGATCATAAATTAAATCAAATAAGTCATCCTCAGATTCTCCATTTTTAGAAGTAAACTCGCTTATTAAGTAATGCATCATTAGATATACAAAATTTAGGGTAGAGTATTTTAAACCAGATAAAAGGTTCGTAACATCTAAAAATGGTTTTAAAAGATTTACTAAATCTTATAATAAACTTAAAAAATTAAAAATTATTTCGTTAAAATAAGTTTTAATTTTTTTTTAACAAATATAATACTTACATCTACTCTGACTCCGTAAGTGATATTAATTTTAAATAATTACTATTATCTTTATCATCTTTTGCATAAGCTAAATGTAATGTATTTTCAAGTCATTTTATAGCAACCTTTAATTCTAATAATTTTGTCTATGCAAAATATAAACTATTCCATCATGTATGTACATCTTAAATTATTTCAAGTATTTTTGGATATCTTTGATTTTCTTATGCTTCTTTTAATCATTTATTTATTTTGGACTCAAAGCAAAAAAAAAATAAGGTTATTAATTCTTTTAATAAATTGTTTTATTAATGCTAAATTTTTTGTAATAGTAAAATGTAATGTATATGCAGTATAGCCTATATTTTCAATATTATTCATTAAAGAAATTGCATTTTTAACATTTGGGCTATTGTTTGTTGTAGCTGCAAAACACTTATCTTTTAAATTCCAATTTTTAAGAATATTATTTAAGCAATTTTTAATATTTTCAGATATATATGAATTGGATAATAATTCTATATCAATCAATGCTTTGTATAATTTTATTTTTTGGTCTAACTATAAATTTGTTATACCAATATAGCCATTATTTCAATGACAAGTCTAAAGATCTGTTGTAATATTAATGCTATTTGCATTAGATTTTAATAATTCCTTAAGTTTTCTTTTGTCCAATTATAACTATTGTATATCATTTCTTTACTTTTTTCTTCAGTTGGTATTCTAACTCCTGATTCAAATTCATGAAGCATATTTCGAAATGCATCATTTCGATATTTAATGGTTGACAATTAACAATAATAAAAGTTATAAAAGACTGTTTCAAAGATAATTGATGCTTCATAGTAATAATATTTCATTACTATTCTAATATTACCATTTGTATCAACTAGCTCTTCTGGATGATTTTTATTAATTCTATGATTTCTCCAAAGATGTCCTTGAGCAGTAGTAGTTGAAGCACCTTTTGTTCACTTATAACGTTTTATGATACTTTTATTTTTACACACCTGACAAACAAGATATAACTGTTTTTCCTCTTCATCATACTCCTCAAAATAGTAGTCCCAAATAATACTTGAGTTTTCTTTTTTACGTTTATTATTAGTTTTATCCATTTTTTAAAATGAAAATTAAACAAAAAATAAAATAATATTGATTTACTTTATATTGATTGTATTACGATTCACAAATTTTAATATAAAAAATTAATTTAAATATATTATAATATACTTTTTTATTTTAAATAAATATTTAAGTTTAAAAATTAAATTCTTAAACTAATTTTATATATAAACCAGTTTGAAATTATAAATTGATTTGAGTTTTAAAACTGATTTTTATATTGAAAACCAGTTATCAGATTTTTAAAATTTTTTTTAAAACTAGTTACTAAATAAAATGGATTAAAACTGAAGACTGTAAATCAGTTTTGGAATACTACTTATTATTTAAATATACTTATCATATTATCAAATTACTATTTATATCAACATATATTAAAAATTTGAAATATTTCAAAAGAGTAATTCTATTTAAACAAATTATCTAATTATTATAAATTCAATTGTGATTCTATTTTATATATTATATATATTTCAATTTACAAAATTATTTAATAATTACAATTTCAATAAAATTATTAAATTTTTACATAATTTCAAATTTTTTATTTTTAGAAGGAAATATAATTTTTAATGATAATATTCTGATAATTACTACTATTTCACCTTTGATTTAGAGTTCAAACTAGAATATAAAAGTTTCTGATTTATCAGATTTTTATTTTAAAATTCAGAATTTTATTATAGAATCAGATATTTATCCAAAACTGGATAATTTAATTTATTCAGATTTTATTGGCTGGAATCTTTTTAAGCTAGAATAATTAATTTTACATAAGAATTATTTATTTATTTATATATTGATCAATATATCTGAAAACTAATTCATATTTTTAATATATATTTTAACAAATATAATAAATTTGAAAAAATTTAAATATATACAGAATAATTTTAAAGATTTTTAAAAAATTCAAATTTTTTTTATATAAAAGATAATTAACCAGTATATGCTAAAGTTTAATTTATATATTACTTTAATTTATCCTTAGATTTATTACTAATTAAACTTTTTTGGATAATTAATAATTTTTTTAAAATTTATGTGATTTTAACTAAAATTTCATAAAACAATTCAATTTTATTATTCTAATTTATATTTAATGAGAATTTTATTTATTTTATTTTAAAAAATTAGTTAAATTAGTATTAGAATTAATATTATTAAAATATTATTTAAAGTAAATAATACTAAATTATTATATTTAAATACAAAATATTAAAATTTTAATTGCATAATGTTAGATCCTCAATCAACATGTTTTTTACTTAATATATTAAATAACAAAATACTAATATAAATTTTAAAGAAATAGAAGATTTTAATTTTAATTTTAATTTTATTGATGATACAAATAAACTATCTATTTCTAAATAACAAAAGGAACTAAAGTACTTCTTCTATATATAGTATCCTATTAAAAAATTTTTTGAAATTTTTAAAATTTCCAGATATTTTATATAAAAATTTGATATTTAAAATTTAAAAAATATCTGGTATAATAATAAAATATAAAAATTTAAACTTTTAAAATTCTTTTATTATTTTTAATAATTATTATAATATATATTAATATAATAATTTTTATTTTGATATAAACTATTTGATTATATTATTAAACTAACTACAATCTTGATTATCTTTATTTTCTTTATCATTATCATTATTGTTATTATTAATTATAAAATTCCACTCATTTATATAATCATTTTTTTCAACATATATTTTATTATTATTATTCTTTCTTTTATCTACTTTAATTTCATCATTATCATCTATTAGACCTAATAACTAATTATAATCAAATATGTAATAATCTTTTAAACTATTAGTTTTTGTTAAAATATTATAATATTTAAATGATTTCTAAATAAGATCATTATTAATTTTGTCTTATAATCCTTAATCCAAGTTGTAACTGTTAAATAAAAAAGTTTTTTAATTTTTTCAGTAAGAGTAAGATTATGAGTTATAAATACTATTTATTTATTATTCCTTAGATTGTAAAAGTTCGCAGGCAAATTTGCCTGCTTATTTACTATAAATTTCCTTCTGATTTATTTTTATAAAAAATTAAATTTTTTTTTAAATTAATTTTATAAATATATATTATATTATAGTAAAGTTTATTTTTAATTATATAATAAATAATTTACAATT